CCGCTGTCCAACTCGGGAACGCTCATTAAAGTTATTTATCAATCTTAAAACCACAGACTCTTGACACGATAATATCCAATTTAGTAAAAGAAAAGAAATTATGAATAGCTCATTTATACAGCATTTATTCCCTTACCTTGTTACTTCACATCTTAATATTTATCAGGTTTCTGAAAAATTTGGCAAAATTTCGATAAAAAATGGAACTTAAATTTTATCGATGGAGAATATTCTATCTATCCATTTACATTTTATTAATTAATTCACCGTTTGGTTTTACATCTTATATATCAGCAATGTTTGATGTTAATATAACAACTATTCTTTAATTCGTAATAATTGTTTAAAAGAAATGAAAAGAATCTGCAAAGCATTCCCAGGCACAAATTCCAAAATGCCCGGTTACTTTCGCCTTGCAGAAACAATTTTGCATGCCCTAAATTGCCAAACGCGGCGATATTACGTTTCATGATAGAATTCAAGACACGTCCGTCCTTCTGGAGGAGCTGCCTGATATATAAATTCGCGAGACAGCGGTTTAAGTTCGACAAATTGAGGTCGCAATCACTTATGCGTCAAGAGCAACTTCTCCCAAGTTCTTTCGTGTTCCTTTCGCGTTTCAATTGAGGACTTCGCAACCAAAACGATAAAAGTTGGAGAATTCCTTGCATAGATCTCGCGGAAAAACGTTCCTATTTAAAACGTTTCATGCTAAAATAAGCGACAAAGTGGATAGACGACAAAAAGTTATCCCCTTCTGTTTCCGAATGAATGCCGCGTTCGGTTCCGTACTATTCACTTACGTACGTTTCATTTAGTATTATACTTAAAGAAAAAAATATGTTCAGTTAATATTTACTTGATTCAAGTAAAATGATTACTTCAATACTTGTTGGCAAGTGTTTGCTAAAAGTAGAAATATATTTGACTTATATACAGTATGATATTTTCTTCGTACATGTAGATATTTACTTGTACGTGTTATAGCAATTGCGACATTACATTCATAATATTAAGAATAGTAGAATTTATTTTTAGAAAATATTTACTGGACCGAAAAATCTAAATTTGAAACCACTAGATTTCTTTAAAATAAAAGAAGTATTACATAATTCTAGGAAGTATTCTCTTAAATTTAGAATCATTTTACACTTACATTGATTAATTCATTTGCAAATTTAGATATTACTGTGATTAAGTAAGTATTTGCTATAAACTATTAAAATATATTTAAACTGATAAAAGTGTCGTTTGACTTAAAAGGCTGAAAAAAAGGTTAATTACGTTTACTTCATTCTATCACTTTTTTTCCGCGTAATTTAATAAAAGTCACATAAATGACGTAAGATTGACGAGAGTCCACAGTTTTACCTTATCCACAGTTATGAAATTTGGTGATGTTTCGGGAGTGATTACCGGGGAGTTTCATCTTTTTAATTAGACCTCAAAATTAATTTCTGCCGAGACAATCCCCGCTTGAAACTTCAAGAAGAATATGATCCCCCATTATAAGACTGAGAAAGTTCTTTGAGCACCGCTTACGCGCGCGTGTAGGTACCGTCGCGATGACACTTGAAAACTCCTCCGCCCTACTCGTTTAACTCGCGATACCACCGGGACACGGTGTGCGACAGCGAAGAAGACAGATCAGCGAGCAGAATTTCGTATACACAGTGATTCCATTCACGTCCGTCGCGTCAGATGACGACTTACGTACGCGTCCGCGGAAAATCAGTACGTCCGCCGGATAAACTGCCCCGAAATAGTCCCATTCTTCATAAACTCGAGAGATAATGTCGCGTAATATAATAACGCTTAAATGATGGGCTCGCTTCAAAAAGTCCGCGTCTCGAGGAACGTTTTCCCTGACGAATTTCGACTCGACCTTTCCTTATCGGAAATTTAAGTGGCGGTCTTATTACGGGGCCACTTAATAGCGCAATTAACCTGTAACTTCGCTCGGGATAATTAGAAACCACTAATGTTTCTTCTGCCGCTAAATTCGTTTCTGGTAATCGCAGCGGGAAGAAGAAGAAACTCGAATAATATTCGGCTTCTTTTTTACATCCTCGGCATCGGTTGGCTTTAATAACGGCGCAGCTGTCACGAATGAAATCTTTTTCTATTTCTATTGCTGGAAAATTCGTTATCATTTAACGCGAGAATATGCAAATCGCCTTTATACTCGTCCCTCGTGCCTACGCTTTAATATTCAAGGGTTAATAAGCCGTTGCGGAAAACTTCGTCGACATTCATCGCATAAGTATAAAGGTATACATTTCGTACGTACACAATGAATTTTTGAACGTCTCATAATTGCGCATCATAATTCCCCGAGCTTCCTTCCGGCGTGTCATTGACTTTCCAAGATGCCGCGCGAGCACGCATATAGATTCAACGCGAGATAAATTAGTCGCGGGCAAACCGCGACACCGCAGTCTGATGATGAAACATTAACCCGGTTAAATAACATCCTGCCGTGATTATGCTATTTATCCGTTAAACGGGCCTGTGTCGCGCGCGCGCGCGCGTGGGTGTGCTCGCGTAAAACGTGTTTACAAAATTAACGGGAGAACGTTAAATGGAATAGTCAAGTATCAACCGGAGAACTCGCGTATCCTCGAATACGGGAGATAGCGGGCTGGTGAGGCTCCAACTTGAGCTCAACTTGTCGGCATTGACTCTTCGGAAAGTTAGGAATTATCCGATCCCGCCTGAGCTATCGATGTATAATTTGAAGTAGGTTTAACCCAGATCACCCTCCGTGGTTACCCGGCTTCCGCGAAAATTAACTAGTGCGCGCGACGAAGTGTGCTCTCTACGCTCGAATTCGTGTGTTACGCAGGCTGACCCGCGCGGATAATCGTGGAAAAACACTCGAAATTGCGGGTGGAACTTGAACCGGAGGGAAGTCAGTGCGCGCGCGGATTTTGAGAGTTTAAGGAGCGAGAGAGACGCGTCGATTTAACATTTCGCGTAACGTTTAGCTCTCTGATATTTTTATACGAATATAAATATAAACATTGCACGAGAATTGCCAAAATGGAAACATCGCAACATTTGGAACAGCGTAACGCAATTTTCCGCAATAAGTCCTCCTGAATTCTTTATTTCTCTCTCTCTCTCTCTCTCTCTTGGATACAAACTGTGTACTTGTATAAGTAATAAAATCAGTCCATGTTAAAATTTTTTGTTAAATTTTTAATATACTATCGGGTGTTAATTTAACATATTATATTTATGTTATCGCTAGGGTTGGGTAAACTAATTTCTTTCTCGAAGCTAAGTTGGAAATTAACGGCCTGAAATGAAATTATATTTTATCGCTTTATTTAAGATATTAAATGATATCACTTTGATTTTCTATAAATGATTACTTTTTGACGTCATCTTGATGTCATTTTGACTTTTACATGACTTTTCGTTCTGCTTGGATTAAATGTTGAAATAACAAATTTTATACTTTTGTAGGTGTAGTTTACTAGGTGAAAGGATGATAGAGTTTCGATAGCTTCGGATTGAGTCTTATAAAAAGATTGAATAGAACACAGTACAATTTGTCTCACGAAGTTACTCTCGCAGTGTTTCACGAAGAACTGACTGACTAGCTGTTCGACGTCTGACTTTTATATCTAGAGATCGGCGAACCTCAAAGACGTCGGCGAGTCGAGTGTCGATTACAATAGACTACTTCGCTTCGCTGTCAGCTTTCTAAAATGCCACCGGTTTCCACGGCTAACGTTAACGCGATTGGTGTCGTAAATAACGCCGCTTTCGTATACAAACGCAATATGCCGACTGCTTTAGGCACGCACCGTCAAAGAAGGAAAGACTAAACATAAAATTATTATATATGTTATCTTATGCTACATTTTATTGTCGATTAATATATCAATTGTGTGTTGACTTTTGACATAATATTTGTGTCGCTTTTCAATTCCATATTTACCTTGTGTTAAATTAATACAAAAATTTGTACAGACCGTTCGGGACATGTGAAATGTGTTAAAATTAACGCCAAACTTTTTACTGTGTGTATCGCTGTGTAAAAATAACGGAATAACGGAGATATGAACGGGAAGAGAGACTGAAGTTACCACGCGAACGGTGAATTTCGGCAAATAATCGTAAGATGTAAATGAGATTTCTATTTCGCCGCAATACGAAGGTGGTGTTTCGAAATAAAACGGGCATCGTTGCTTGCCAATCTCGTAAAAGGGCCATCCGTAACGAGTCGTCTATCGCTCAGATGTACCGCACAAAATTGAAATATTGGCGAGAACCCGTTGTAACCCGTTGGTCTGTAATAAACATTGCCTGATTTATGGAACGCGAGTTCCCGGCTACGTACGCTATGTCCCGATTTGCACATGCCATTTTCACCCTTCCGAGTACTGCACAGACCACTATAAAAATATCGCTCACACGTACGAAACGCCGGAGATATAAGCAGATCAAGTCGCGCAACGTGAACGCTACTTTTGAGAAGTACCGGCACATCAAGTTGCAGAATAATGGTATGATAAATACGACGCGACGCGGCAAAACGAAGGTGGGAAGACAGATTTACGTACGTATAATACGGAGTGATGAAATACGCTACATACGCCGTACCCTGTGCACCGCCTCTTCGGTGATTCGAGCTTGCAACCATGTTTTTAAAATGTGAAACGCGGTGTGTACCTCTAGAGGGTGCGAACGGATCGCGCGCTTGGGTAAAAATAATTTTTAGGCGTGCATAATTTACGGCGTTCGCGCGAAAAGTTTTCTCAAAATGGCTTCGGTAAATCTCTCGCGATATTATCCCCCATGAATTATCCAAAAAGAGGAAAAAGTGAGAAAGAAAATCTTTGTAGACCTCGCGCAAAATGGCAGAGGGTTTAACGGCGTCTCCTCAATGCTTCCCCGTATATTCCGCGAAAGTATGAATTTTGAATGAACGTGAATTCATCGCAAAAGTGCGTTAATTCGGTAATGTTGCATAATGCAACGTAACTTACCTGTAACGTTGAGGGTAATATGCTGCACGTTGTTGCACTCGCGGTTGACCGCCATGTACGTGGCCTCGCACTTGTAGAGGCCCTCGTCTTTCAGCTTGACGTCGGGTATCTTCAGGTACGTTTTCGACGAATTCGTCGAATATTCTATGTCGGCCCTGAAACATTTACAATGATGGTGAATGAGTACGTGTAATTTGGGCATTGCGCCGGAGAAAGGCGACTTTTCGCCGAGAGAGACGCCTTGTTGATTTACCGCGGCAATTTCACCAATTAATTTCGGTTGACGGAATTTTCCCCCGTTTAATGTGATACAACGCAGCGAAAAATCTGGCGGGTTTACAGCGTAAACACGGCGCGATATTGGCGGAACGCTTTGTTTAACGGACTTTTATTAGGCATTTCACGTGACAACAATAGCGCAAATGAAGTCCCCCGCGCCGAATCTAATAAATCTCGCTCTTGCCGCATTCCCGTCGGCTCATTTTTTATGTTATTAATGCCTGAGCATTTGCAATTAATGCGCCGCTCTCATTAATCGTGAATACGCCGATTGTTTGTGAACTTTATTAATGGAGACCGCTCAGCATTACGTCGATGCATAGTTCGTGCCAACGCAAGTATAATGACCTCACGTAACGTCAATCTCAAATTGCGATTAACACCGGGTAATGAATCGGACAATCAATGAGATTAATCTGGTCGTTATCCCGACTGAGTAGTGTAATCCATTTGTGACGATAAGGTGGCGATGTTATCGCCCCGTGTACTGCATTCGATCCAATTCTACATATTATACATACGTCCGATCGACGTATCTGCACGTATGCGCATGTATACACATATGTGTATTTCATCTACGAAATATTAACGAGATACAACGACCCTTGACACAATTGCATGCATTAATAATTCGTAACGGGGATAAATTGTATAAAGGAAGGTTCCCGCGCGGTAATGCAGCGAGCTGCAGAGAAATTCGAATGCTCGTAATTAAATTTGATCGCTTGTAATTCAATCGCTCGCAATTCCGCGTTTCACGACGCGAGGGCGTCCTTGCGGACCATTAATGCACGATAGCATGAGCTACGAAGCAATGAGATGCGTCAGTTGAAGGTCCCGGCATTTATATCAGTGAATGCCGAGCAGAGACGCACAGTAGTCAATGTATGTAGGTCGTGTCCGATATTCCGTGAATAGACGCGAGTGACTGAGTATTTCCACGGGCACATAAGTACGGTGGGATCGGTATAGTCAACATCACTATTGAACTTGCCACAATTCTCGATACAATTTACGTTTCCATCAAATTGCTTGATTGCTTGTCGTTATCTAAGCTGAAGAAATTATTAACGGGATGTGCCATTCTTGAGAATTTTACCGATTACTGATTTCTTCCTGCAAAATTCACGTTCCATCGATGACACGAAATTATATAAATGCTTTTACACGGTGAAAGTGCAAACATAAATTGGAGTGTTGCTCGATATGTGACGAAAACAAGTGGAAATTTCAAAATTGATATCTGTCAGTTAGCGTTAAAATTGTGCATTTATGATTAAGTCAAATAATTTCAATCAATTTTTGATAGATTTTATTAGGTAAAGTTATATATAATATACTTTACGCATATTTAAATTATCTATATAGTAATATATAAAAGGTATACATATATTCTGTTAATATACAAATGTTTTCATCATCATCAAGTTTATCTGTGAAACAGAAACAAAATATAAAAATGAGACTTACGAAATGTAAGAAGAAGACGAGCTATTTCATAACAGTTCATAGATTTCTTATTGTCTACATAGATGACATATTATATATGGTTTACGTTGTTCACGATTAGATGTCGACTATTATATTTTACACGTAAAGGCCTAACCCTGCGTATCTGTAATATAACATATTGAGTACCACCTCTGTTATTGACGCTTATCAAGTTCGTCGACTTTGGCATCCCCTTAAGGTAGTTGGTCCGTAGAGTGCCAGGTTTTCAATGACGATATTAGATCCTACACAAGTTTATTATTTACTAAAAGAAGATACTTCCTTATAATTTTATTTACTTATCTAAATAATAAATATTTTATTTTGATTCTCTATTTTATTTTGATATATAACTGATTTTAATCATATTTCTGTATTTATAATATTGTACACAGGGGGTGATCCATTTAAATCGAACATCTTAAATATTTCATTTGTTTTTGACGTCATAGATTGCTGAACTCCTCTCGATGTTGGCTATAAAATTGCGTAAACAAAAACATGTAGTTCTATTAAAAAAAAATTATCTACCCTCAAGTCTCTGAGAAAAATTATCTTGAAAAGAAATTTTTCTGTCGTCATAATTACTCCTTCGAACGATATGATTTTTTTCTTACACATCTTTTCATATCATTAAAAACAAATAAAGTATTTAAGATTTAAGTGAACCATTCTATATATTTGTCTCAATTTCGCGCATTCAAAATTAACACAATTATTATTTAGGTAGTTAAACGAAATTATAGAAAAAAATTTTTTCAGCAAATAGTAAAAGGGCCTTTTATTATCACTAATGAAAATTCGACATCACGAATCAATTACCTTAACAGGAGGAATTATTAACGGGAGAAATAATTAGTGAAAGCAATAAAAAGGCAGGAGAAAAATAATCGATGTAAACATACCAATGCCAATGCTTTTGCTTTATTCTTTTTTATAAAATCGTTGCGCGTAGTTTGCGTTTGCTCAAAAAGTGGAAATACTATGATGCATATTCGCACGCATGTATTTGAGCATGTTCGTATCGAAAACTCAAATTCAATACATGCCGTCTATATTGCACGGCCACACCGTACTCCCGAATCCAGTGCCACGTTTATTAGCCAGATTAAAACGTCGCCGCGGACGATTTTTAACTGAAATGCGCGCGCATTGCTTTTATTTCCCGGCGAAACGCGTGTGACGAGTCATTGTTTTTGCCGGCCACAAATTCTGCTTCGGTATGAAACGCAGGTGATCGCGGTCGACCGACGTTTTGGTGTGTTGTTTGATCGACGAACCGTTTACGCCGTGTTTACCATTAGTGCATTGTCGATACGGTAATGTGCTGCGCCGCTAATCAGCGACACAACACGCGCTCTGCACGAAACTATATTACTCCTCTTACCTTTCTACGTAATCAGATTACCGATATCGTGAACCGTCGGATAAATATCCCAGGAGTAATATCTCTTAATTACACTATTTAGACGATTACATTCACGTCTGATGAAAGGGCTTCCTCTTTACGCATGTAACATTTCATGTGATATTTACCACAATTTCCATCGTCATTGATTTGCCAATGACGTTTTCTTGACTGAAACCGACCAGCTCTCTCGACGGTTTCATCGCCGGAGACGACTTCGCGCGAATCCGCGAGGCCGGGAATTTAAATAAATGTATGTAATTTTCCAAATTCCCGAATTATCATGAATTTCAGGTTTGTCGCTGGTAACATTTCCGGCGGCAGGTAGTCGTTATGTATTCTTCATGGCACGCGGAGTCTAACAAAATTACATATAGCGACAGAGCATACAAGGTATTGTATTCTCCAGGTCCAAATGTGGACTCCAGTTAATCCGGATAACAGTAAGCCGCGTTATAAAATATTCCATAAATAGCGCATGCGTTCTGCATTAATATTATAAGTATTGCGCTCTTCTTCGTATAACTCGTGATATTAGAGAGCTGCGTATTGCAGCTACATGAAAAGAGAAAAGAAACAGAAAGAAACAAAAGGGAAATCTACACGACTTTTCTTTGGGAGATATTTAAAAATTTTACCATACCACACTTTTATTTCCAATTGCGCGGATGCGCATATTATATTACGTAAAGTGCTGCGTCGAATTGATGAAAGGCTGCGCTCTGACTAAATGCAATTCGTATTGCAATTAAGTGGAAATTTTTACGCGCTGTTTCCATCGTATACAACACCGCCGGCACTCCCAACATGGAACACACTGGCGTAGTGCGTATGTATATAATTCACGAGTATAATTACCGGATATTGCTTTCCTATCGCACTATGTGCGCGAGTGACGTGCGAGAGCAGATTGCCTCAAATTGCTTTCCGAATCTATGCAACGGCAAGTAACGTGAAATGATAAATTCCACGGGAAAAAGAAAGGAAAGGGAATGATTCCGGCGTAATGAGCGTAAAAATTTTTTGCTGCGAATCACGATATCCGTTTTGTAGCTCCGTTCAAAAGCAGCAACAGCCATCGAACTGTTGCATAGTTTTCATCAACGCTGATATTATTCATCGACGGAAAATTTGCACGGAAATTCGTGATAATTTTTTTGCGATAGCAAATTCAGAAGGTTAAACGCCGCGTAACGCTGCGATATTGCGAACTGTTTTTTAATACGACGGGTGTACGAAAACTAGAAAGATTATTATTCGAGCAGAGTTTTGATCAAGTGCCATTGAGTCACGCAGAACGTATTTAGCTGTAATTCTAGCGTCGCGTTTGACAATACGACCGCCGTTATAACATTTCATTAAAGCACGAGGGAATACGCTGTAACTGGAGTTTAGTGCTCATCAAAGGACACCGCCTCTGCAGGGGATCTTTGCCACGAAATGTGCACCAAAGTGTCCATAATGGCAAATAGAAGCTTACGTGAAATTACTCTTGCAGACTGCAATACACGATCTGCACGTAACACCTTAGCGGAAAATCGGCCTCGACATTATCGCGTGTTAAAAAGTTCGAGTAAAACGTTGAAATATATATAGCGCCGACAAGAATTAATGAAAAGCGAATGAGCGGAAGCAAATCCGAAAGTTTACTTAATCAATATCTCGTGCATTCTTTGTGTGCCGGTAATAAAAGAAAGATTGCGTCGTGCCAAAGCATATCTCGAACCAAGATTTTCGAAAAACGTGTTTGCTTTTCATACGTATCAACCAGGTTTGCCTTTCATCATCATGTCACCGTACACGACCTCGTTATTTTTCGTCAAGTACGGCGAACACGTTAAACCAAACAAGTCAAACGCACTGTGCAAACCGAACATTTTGTCGTATATTATTGGACTCCTCCCTCCCTTTCTCGCCATCCCCCCTCATCACTATATCTGCCAGCGTGAAAAATAACATTGGTGTACGGTATTTTTGTTTCTGCAAAAAAGCGAAGTTACGTGTATACCACGCAAATCCATCTCGTTTTGCTGCAATGCCAGACTGCATGCGGGCTAAGGAGAAGGGCTCGACAATGGCTGTTGGAGCGCTAAAAGTGCTAATTGTTTGTCTAAATAAAAGCCTCTGTTTATTGACTGCTTCGAATCCACGACGCACTTTTTCATTCGTAGTGTCAATTTAATTTGAGTAGTTCATCCGATATGTGTGTGCGTGTGTCGCTTTAACTGAGCGTCCTATAATTCTTGCATTTCTGCTATTATAAATCTTGCAATAAGATTATCTACGCGATGTCGTTAGTCACATTTTTTCCACTTGCAAAATAAAAACTTATCGACGAATTAATTTTGATACTAAAGTGATGTTTTTCGTGAATAAATCAAAAGAAATATAATCGTGTTGAATTTTTAATATGAGTTTTTTATTATAAACTTTTCAATAGAGAGAGAGAGAGAGAAATTGTGAAGATAGATAAATGCAGGAATCACTTATCGCGCTTAAGTAAAGCTTGCTACATTCCTTGTTGTTAATTACTCCAGAGTATCGATAAATTAGTCTATTCTCATCATTGATGCGAATTGGCGTGCAGAGAAACGCGCTGTTCTCGGGCTCTCGACTATCGGACGAAATCTCTAAGGAACTGTGGATGCACTTGAGACTTGAGTTCGTGCGCCAACTGCAGCGTGCAGCGTGCAACGAAGCAATAATGCCCAGAGTAAATGCTTGTAATAGAGAAGAGAATCACAATCGAAAGATGCGCTTAGTCGATTTAATGACTTGCGAGCTTAACTCATTTGCGGATGCAACCAGGATAAATTCGCCGTAGTTAATGGGGATCAATTAAAAAGATCGTTTTCATCCAGGCTGTAAATCGATAAAATCTCTCTGTTAATTAATTCTCTTTCTCGTTATCTCACTAAAGTAAACATAGACTGCGGTGGAAAAAATAGTAATAGATAGAGCGTGATAAATTTCTATCAATATACGGTCGTCACATTATGCGCATAATTATATGGTTCGCGGTGCCTACAACGTATCGATAGATACGTCAAACGAATTTATACGCAAAGGTAAACAATATCGAATCAGTTGTCGGCGAATCGGATGATGTTTGAAACAATCAGAGTTTGTGATAATTGGCAATTGGAAGTGTCACGCTCTAAATATTCAAGTGTGCATACGCGTTTAACGCGTCGCACATGTCGAGGCTAGGGAGGCTCGGCCAAGTTCCCCAAATATAGACCGTGGACCACAAAATGCAATTACAGGGTGATGCCCCCGGAATGGGCATAATCGCGGTAGTTACAAACTCGCGGCAACGGCAAATTACCAAAGCCGTGCGGATAGTTCGAGAGAATATGCCACCTACTGTTAAGTCGCGTACAAATAACAAATGCTGTGATACTTTTAACGCCGTTCGGGGAAGAGACAGAAATCCCAGGAATGTTAATGGGAACCGTGCTACCGAGAGATTTCATAGACCACGGCGAAATTATATCCGCGTACACAGGTGTTACGATGGGGGAAAGAAAGGGGCAAAAAGGAGGAGAACAAAATTCGATCACGCGCGCGAACACACACGCGAGTTTTGAAATTCATCTAATGAGATTTGACGAGGGTGCAAAAATCGTGCGAGTGCGACGCAAACGCCGCGAATTGTTTCGTCAATTCGACGACACGTTCTTCCGAGGACGCGGAAAAGGTCGGTTTCATTTATTCTCGGCTCACATCGCGGTGTGCCGATGGCTCGTCTGCACGGCAAGTTTTAATAAGCTTGTGCTGCAGCCCCCGCAGCGCAGCGTCACTAAGGAGCGCCGAAATTCAGTCCGCTCACTTTAAAAAATGCAAATCGCCTAATTAAGTTAAGACGCGAGGTGTATCCACTGGCATTAATGTATTCATGTCAATATAATCCTTTAATTACCTGACGGCGATGTCGTTGTTGCCGCGTATAATTCCGGCGTCCTCACTGAAAATGAAAATCCGCGTGGGGCCGCGATACCACTTGATGCTATGCAGACCTTCGCATTGCGGTGACTTCAGGACGCAGGGCAGTAAAACCTCGGTGCCCAGTTCGGCGTGCTTCTCACTTCTCAGCCACGGTTCGCCGCTCCCTGGAACAAACACACGTGGATTTAGCGACAATATTCGTTCGATATCGAGCCCGTAATTGGAGTACCCATAGCGCTTTAAACATTCATAGCGCTTGACGAAAACGTTATCGACGAACGAGTCGTCTCGCTTACGCGCGCGATTTTGTCCCACAACATGCTCACACGATCCCATATTTTATTCACGACGAACGAACTCTAAGATCGACGACAAAACGAATTATTGTGCGGATTTCCATCGGCAAACTCGCGTTATCATTACATTTGCGATTCGCCTTGCTTAGAATCTTAGATATAGAGAACTGTAATGAAAAAAAAGCCAGTTTCGATGGCTTATCTAAATCATATGACCTAGACGTCATTTTCTTTGCCTACCACGCCTAAAAACATACGATGTATCGGTAAGTTTTAGTATCTTTGTCATATACTTTTAATATGGAATGATGAAATGATTGCCAGATATCGTTTATGAAGATATTAAATAATAGTGACTCATGGCGTGATCCCTGTAGAATCCCTGAAGTAATATTACTAGTTCTTGAATAATAGTCATTGTTCATAACCACCTGAGATCTATTCATTATCAAAATCTGGTATCTATGTAAGAAGGGAGCCACCAACTCCAAACGTTCGTAGTTTACTTAATAGTTCATAGTGGTCTATCGAGTCAAAGGTTTTCCTACAATCTATGTAGATGGAATCCACTTATTACCTCCCCTCCCTCCCCCCTTAACAACTGACGATATGAATCATGATATATTACTAAATTAATATAATTATGCATAGTTATGTATATTTATACATATTTTTCAACAGAGTTCGGTACTTTATAGCCGAGAAACATGGGTATGTCTATTTTCTATACATATGTCAGCTTTGATGTTTTTTCTCTATATTATGATTCAACAAAATCCTTCTTTGATGTGCCGGGCTATAACGAGGAGCTATATATTGTAGGAAGAATATTCTTATTTAAACTGATTATTGTGTCAAGAAAGGAGAAAAAAGACGAATAAAAGCGTAATATCCAGTCAACGCGGGTTATTGCTTGCGATAAACGTTTAATAATATAAGGAACCTTTAAAATTAAAAAGATGAACATTTCAGTTATATTGTTTGAACTCTTTTCAGCACAATTAACAATATAAGAAATTAAATACAAAAATGAAAAAAATTATACAAATATAAAAGTATGTTGTCGGGTCGATATTAATTTAATGTTGCGTGCGACTCTTCTGGTTCCAAGGTCAATTAATTTTCTGGTCTTGACGCAAACGATGCGATTAGTCTGTTGCTTTTAAATTTGTTATATTATACTAAGGGAAAAGTATTTAAAAATTTATTTGTAGAAAATATAAGGTTTATTTCTATCAAATAAATCTTATGTCCTGCAAATAGATTAAGTACTTTTTCTCCGTGTAGGTTAAAGATAGATACTAAAGATTCCAAGAGATAAATAATTAACTCTTACCCAACAAATAATCATCTCAGTCCAGTCTCGTCCGTAACATGTATGTAGACAGTACACCGAATGTATATATGTTGATAATGCATTAAACTTAAAAATAATAAATAAATGGGGAAGAAGGTTTCTTCTCGCAGTTCGTTGATAATATGAGAATAAATATTATTTAGATTTATTGTGTCTTGTAAATTAGAATTAATTTTCCAGCGTTTTTTCTTGAAAAAGAAAACATCTCTAATTTTATCAAGGTTGATCTGTTGCAACCTAATTCTCCTTCCTTCTCTCACATCCTTATTCGCTTCTTCCAAGCATCACTATACAAAGCAAATGGCGGAATTTCGATACATCGAATTCAGTTGCGCTTCTCTAGTTACATCTGCGACTCTAGCCCCGCTTATCCGCGGCATTAGAGTTTATCATATCCGCGCTATTATCGTTGTCGGGCGTAGAAACAATACGTTAATTGATACGTTAATTGATATCGCGAAGCGGAAAAACCGGATTCGGCTGGCGCGAGGCTCTCTCAGCGAATTACCCCGAGGAAGGGTTGAAACCATCTCGTGTGGCACAGTAAATATTACGTCTAAGTGGAGAATAATGGAGAACATCGGAGGGAATCGCGTTACGGCTTTCTGCCCGCTTCTCACGGACGTGTGAGAAGTTTGTTTGGCTGCTTTTAGCTCGGATATTACAGGATGACTGTTTAGTCGTTTATCCCCTTCCAAAGTGTTTCTTCAAGAGAGAAAATCCATTTCGCCGCTTCACACTTTGTTCAAAGGTCGCGGAGGATGAGTTTGCTCTTTTTCATCTCTCCCTCTTCTCTATCCTTCCTTTTTACATATATTCCCCCAGACTTTTGCGAGTGGTCGCAATTAACATCGTCGAGATACCGGATTGACTTTTAAAAGCTTTCAAGAGAGCTTTATTGCGGTAGAAAGAAAGACTCGTTCTCTACGTTTACGATATCATACGGGCTACGTAATCACGAGCTCTTCTGCTGACCATTGTGACGTGACCGAGCGATCGTGATGACACGAGAGAGAGAGGAAGAAATAATTCGCTATCTCTTAACGTTTAGTCCCGATAATAAAGGTTTACGGCGAGCTTCTGGACGCGACGCATGTCTCTCTTTCTCTCGTTCGCGCGTTTGTCTGTTGATGTTGTTATGTGCGCTCTTGTTAAACTGATTGTTTAGCGGACTTAACAAGAATTTTAAACGGTGGATAAAAGCGACGCAGCATGAATAACGCATTTGTAATAACTTTGCGCCGGCGCCAGTCGGTGTTGCTCGCGAGGAGATCGAGGGAACATATGGCGCATGAACATTCGAACACGGAAGGATTACGATTTATGGCCTTCGGCGCGAATATCTACAAACAATGATTTATCGGCCGAACATGGATGTCCATCACTGTCGATTGAATTTCCGCGGCCTTAGTGCAGTTTAAACGACTTTGCCTTTGTATATATTCGCGTATCAGGGACTCATTGAAAAATCGATCGGCAGATGTTCGCGCCGGATTAATCCCACGCTTGTATATATACGTCGTTTTATATTCTGTCTTCGCCTCGCCGCCGCTTCGCAGCGCCCGCGAGAGTGAAACTTTTCACATCGCCGTGAAACGAATATAGGCCGTGAAAATTTATGAATTTCGTTGCAAAGACACAGATATTGAGCGGGGTTATTTTCAGCGGCGAGACGAGCTGCCGAGATATCGGGTTACGTGAGAGCGGGGAAGACGAGAGAGAGACAAGACGAAATGGCGATGGCCGAGAAAATGCGGCCTTTGTTCGGATTTAATTAAAAGTTTAATAATTTGACGAGGTGAATAATTCGCGGGGATATCAACGCGCACGCGGTCAATGATAAATCTCTCAGCGCGAGGATACCTTCTCGCGACTGCCAGTCCAGTATTGATTCCACAAACCGCTCCTCGTAAAACTGTCCGCCGCGATTAAGCGGCGAGGAAGTCAATTTAGCCGAAAATAACGCGGTTTTTCCGCCGAGCGTTTCGTGTAAACAGAACTACGTTAATATTTATATACCACCAAACGAGCGTCTTAATGCGTCTTAATGCGTCTCGAAGAGGCGGTCGTTTGAAGTATGAAGGAAGGTTGAAGGAAGGAAGGGGGTGCTGTTTGCGTAACATTCGTTGCATTCAACGCTACTAATTACTAGTTACGCTTGCAGTTAAATTTTGCCACGTATGCATAAAGTTTTTATGAGGGAGCGAGAGCGGGCTGTAACAATGATAATTATTGCACTTGATGGTACTTTCAGTTTCCATCGGTTTCCTGGCCGAAACTTCTTGCAAGGTTTCACCTCTCCTCTTTACCCTCCCCACCCCTTCCCTCACGTGCAAGTACGACGGTGCGAAATACTGCACGTGCACTTCGCCATCTTCCGAGCTCGTTAGTAGCAACCCGCTAACTAAATAATTGCTAATGTAACGTTCTTCCACATTGATCGTAAGTTCAATTCACTTGCTCTCATCAAGCGGGTATATTTAACTCCAATTATAATTCGGATTTTAACCTGATTTTTTATCGAGTTGGTAATTAAATCCCGTGTTAAAGCTTTAAAAAGGTAAAGTTTAAAATAAAGTTTAAAGCTCGGAGGCACTTCTTTCGCCGCCTCACAGCGGAGGCTTGGAAAAATTATAGAAACCGGCGAAAATTACATTGAACAATTCGGAATATTGATATATGTCAAATCAGGCGGAAGGTACTATTTCTCTGCTTTGAATTAATTTTCCTATATTTTATAATGAGAAAAGGAAGGAAGAGAGGGAGAAAGAGAACGTAGTGAACAAACACCGAAAGGCTTTTTTCCCCATTGTTATTTAATTTCAGATACTTTATCGTGATGGAAAAACGTCATGATTTTTCTAAGGGTTTCCGTTGTTCGTCGAGCAAATTAGATTTTCTCGTACGCTACGACCTATCGGTCTATAAGACCGGTCAGAGTTAGCCAATGTTTTCCGTTTTAGATAAGAACTGAAAACGGCGGACGACAACTGCGAATCAAACTGTACAGCCAAATCGACTATCGGAACATCTTAACGCCTCAGCGATCACGATTAATGCCGTTAATTCGATGCTTCATGACCGGAGCCGTCGCGCCATTGAAACCCATCCGCTTGGAATTCGTATCGTATTTCGACGATGTTCGATTTGTCGCTCTCTCGTGCGCGCGTTTACGGAAGAATTAAATGTAAAGGTCGAATGCAAGATTTGTGACTTTGCCGTGACTCCGTCGTGATCTCCTTCGCAAAGAATCGGTTGAAAAGGCTCCTGTGTGTTTGGCGGGCAATTTTACTCATACGGTCGGCCAGATCGTGGCTGCGACCAATAGTTTACAGTCAAGGGCCCATGAAATTAGTAGTATTTCGAGATGTCGACGTGACTCCGGAGACATTAAAATGTAAAGTAAGCACTATGCTGCGCAACGAGCGCCGTTGCGGAAGAGCACGTGCAGATAACGACGTTCTATCGTGAGGGCAGAAAAAGTTATCGACCTCGGATGCTCCGACGCGTG